GAGTTTCGACAAAATTGGTGTTAGGTCCCTATTGATACGCTCAATTTGACCGTTCGACTTGGGTGAACCTGTTGCAATTTTAATATGTAAAATATTATTGTCTTGGCAAAAATCATCAAATTCTTGAGAAGTAAAAGTTGCACCTCTATCAGAAATTATCCTAATTGGTCTACTATAATTTTGGAAATATTCTTGCAACTTTGGTATAACTTCAATGGTTTTTGTCGATTTCACATCATAAAGTTTAACAAATTTAGAAAAAGAATCAATAATTTCAAAAATAAATTTTCGATTATTAGGGGTTTTCTCCAGAGGGCCATAATGATCTACATGTATCGTTATGAAAGGTTTATTGCCCTTAGGAATGTTATGTAATATTCCTTCAGTTTTACCTGTCGAAGAATAATAGATACATTTGATACAATTTTTAATATAGTTTTTAACTTTGGTCTTAAAATCTGGGAACCAGTAGACCCTAGAAAGATATTCACAAGTCCTATCTATACCCACATGACCTAACAAATCATGACAGTTAAAAATTACTTTGTCCTCCATAGATTTTGGAACATAAAACTTATTTCCCTGTTGATGTTGTAATTTTTTGTAGACCAAACCATTTCTTAATTCAAAAATTTTGTTTTCAGTAATTAAAAGATCGTTTTTGATTTTAGAGATTTCAGGGTCCAAATTCTGAGAAATTGATAAATTTTGTTCAAATGTATTTTCTTCTAATATGAGAATGCTATTAGCGCGACTTAGGGCATCAACGTGTCTCATGCGTGAATTTTCTCGGTGTTCAAGGAAGTAGTCATAATTTTGTAGCGTTAATGCCCAACGATTAATGCGTCTATTAATTTCTTTTTTATTCAATGCCATTTTAACTGAATTACAGTCTGTGACTATTTTAAAATGAATCCCTTGTAAATATACACGAAAACGTTCAAGAGCATTGACAATGGCTAACAATTCAAGTTCAAAGCTATGAAATTTAGATTCAGAATCTGTTGTCCGCTTACTAAAATAGAACACTGGTCTAAATAAGTTGTCTTTCTGTTTTTGTAACAGAATTGCACCATAACCAGAACTAGAAGCGTCACAATGCAATTCTGTTTCTAGGCTAGGGGAATAGACAGCTAAAATTGGAGCTTCGGTTAATTTTCTTTTCAATTTGTTAAATGCGTTCAGCTGGTTTTCAGCAAATTCAAATTTTGCATCTTTTCTTAAAAGATCATATAAAGGTTTTGCCTCAATCGAAAAAGAAGGAATAAATCTTCTAAAATAAGATGCAAGGCCCAAGAATCTTTGGACTTTTTTGGCATCATCAGGAATAGGATATTCTGTTAAAGCGCGAACATTATCAGGGTTAGGTTGAATTCCTTCACTGTTAATGAGGTACCCTAAATAAATAATTTGTGATTGCAAAAAGAAACATTTTTGGATTCGCAATTCTAAAAGATTCTTAATCATTAAGTTGAAAACTTCTGTCAAAATTTGAAAATGTTTTTCCAATGTTTCGGTAGCAACCAAAATATCATCCATGTATATCAGTATCTTATTTTCTCTCAACAAATTTTTGAAAATCATATTTATGAATCGCATAAAGACAGAAGGAGAGTTAGTAAGACCAAATGGCATGCGTACATATTCAAACTGACCTAGAGGACTAATAAAAGATGTATATTTTATAGAGTCTTCTGCCATCTTTACATGATGAAAGCCGTTTTTTAAATCAAGGACCGAAAAAAAGTTTTTATTTTTAAGCAAATCTAATAGATCATCAATTAATGGTATTGGGAAGTGATCTCTAATGGTAATTTTATTGATTTCGCGATAGTCTATGCATAACCTTAACTCATTTGTTTTCTTTTTAACCAAGACTATTGGACTACAATAAGGACTACTGCTTTCCCTAATAATTTTATTTAAAAGTAAATCATCCAAAATTTTTCGTAGTTCATTTTTCTCAAAAAAAGACAGTTTTCTCGGTCTAAAAGAAATCGGCATTTCATGTTTCAATACTATTTTCATTTCATAATTTATTTCTGGCTCATGTAATCGCTCTTTACAAAAATATTCATTAAAAAATTGTTGTTCAAAATTATAAATAATTTTTGGTTCTAAGTTTCGATTAATATTTAGAATAGGTATTGTATCTTGATCAATTTCAATAAAAAGTAATTCATTAGAATTTTCAGGCTGAAAGGGTTCTAGACAAAGTTTATTATTGTTAAGTGAAATTTTAAAATTTTGTAAGGATAAAAAGTCTCGTCCCAAAATAGCCGGAACAGTCATTGTATCGTCACTGACAACATAAAACTTAAGTGGCACTTTTAAATCATTAATTATTACAGTTTCTTCATAAAGCCCTAAAATATTTAAGCTAGATTTATTAATGCCAACATAGTTTTGTTCAAAATCATAATTTAAATTGATACAGTGTGGTGGTAAATGTTTACTTTTTATCAAACTAATGGGACTACCAGTGTCAAGCATTGCATTCACAACAACCTGACAGCTGTTACCTTGATCTTGTACTTCAAATCGAACTGGGATTTCATACATACTTGATACTGACCGCATTAAGGCTTCTTCTGATATCTGGGAATTCTCTTTTGATTGAGCTTGTGGCGAATGATTTTCAATAATACCCATCGTAGTGGTGAAATCAGCAGTCATCACTGACGGCCTCTTCTTGTTTTCAGGACAATCTTTGATTTGGTGATTTGATTTACCACAACGAAAACAGCTTCCTCTTTCTCTTTTGGGCTTGGGACACTTATGTGCAAAATGTCCTGACTCATAACAATTAAAACATCTTTTTGGTGCAGTAGAAACTGGCGTTTGCCTGGATGATGATGGATAACTGGGTACTGAATGAGTTGGAGATCTTTCTGACTGAGTAACGTTGGACATAATTCGTAATAAGTCACTCAATGTCTTAAAGTCCTGCATCCTGGCTTGAGATTGTAATGTTTCATTGAAAAATCCATCAATTATGTATTCAATTAAATCTTCATCGGAAAGTCCCACAATGTTGCCCAAAGCCACTTTCTCGTGGAAGTAAATCGGGAATTTCACGCCTCTTTTCCATTTACGGGATTCAAATTTTTTCATTGAAGAGACTCTGTCTGCTCTAAATGAAAACATTTTCTTCATTTCTTCTTTGAGATCAGTCCAAGTCATTGTAATAAATTCAACTTTTATGATGATACCAGGTCCTTGCTTGGTCAGTTAATTTACCAACAGCAATTAATTGAATTGTTTTGTCCGGAACTTGGTAACAGTCCTGTACTGCAGCTACTCTTTGTAACCAAACTGCAACATCTCCTTGGCCAGTAAAATCAGGAAGTAAAGCACTTATTTCGGCGTTTGAAAAGGATTTATTTTCATGGTGTTTAATGGGCGGTGAGATAGGTCTTCGAGCCTGTTCATGCAATAAAATTGCTCTTACCGTTGCTTCAACCAAATCATTCACTGAAATTGGACTCTGGCTTCTGTTTTCTTGAGCCGATTCACTCATTTCGGCGTCTTCAAATTAGTCGTCCGCCATAATAAATCACTACTTTCGCAATATCCTATGGCTTGAATCCTGAATCCCACTTCTGAAAACTGTAGACTGTAGATTTCTTCGAAATGCGACTGTTGAGTCCGGGTTTCCCAATCAAATAAGGCACGTAACGGTTTTTACTGTTTTATTGAAGTCCTCGTTAATTCAACTATAACGACACCCCAGCGCAGCCTGCAGAAGGAAGATGAAACGGGAAGTTTTTTACCTATTTCAAAAGTGTTCTATCATCTTCTGTCTACCGACATAACTGGTTTTCTAGTCATCCGGTACTCTAATTATTTTGAAGGTCGGGTTTACAATAATTACAAAATACAGCGCTGGGCAAATTCAAATAACTAAAAATAATTACTACAGTAGGTCAAAAACACGAATTCCTACATGTTAAAATAAAGGATAATACACACTACTACTACAGGATAGCTTATCCTCATAGTCATAAGGCCTGTGTCACAGGCTCGAATCTCAAACCCCCCACCACGCCAAAGAACCAGTGATGACGTAGACAGCGTGTTATTTCTCGCTTTGACGTAGGTTGTTCACACCACAGGTTATGTTTTCGATAGATTTTTAGTTTTGTTGGGTCAACTAGGTATTATCCTACTGCACTCAAGACAAATTCGGGAATTTTTTGTTCTACAATATGGTATTTACATGGGAATTTACCTAAAGGACTTTTCGTTTCTTTGATACCATTATTAGCTCAATTTTTTTAAATAGTTACCTGGATTTGCTATCTTATTTTTTATTAGCTTTTATAAAAGCTTTGGGCATCCTAAAACCCAGTATTGCATTTAATAATAAATCAAACAAAAAACCAGGTCGACATTTAAAAAAAAAATCAATCGATAATGATTCTAGAAGAACGCAGCTTCCAATTTGAAATTTAATGTCGCCTTCTCCTATAGAAGAAGAAAAGTGACATCATTAATGTGAAATCAGTTTCAAAAATCTTTTTTCTTCGAATGATATTAGAAGCTGCCTCTTAGTGACACTTCACAGGCTTAAATTGTGTATTTTTACTACCTAGTCAAAAAAAGTCCAACTTTCCTGTCAATGCAGAAAAAGTTGGTTGCGTTTCAGGTACTTAATAATTTGAATTAAACTGATAATTAAAGTTGACAATGATATTAGGTAAACAAAATGATCGCGACAGGTCTCTTATCATCGGAGGTGGTAGATAATGCTAGTAACTCATCCTCAATTAGATCCATTTTCAAATTGACGATGACATTGAAGTTTTGGCTTGTTTCCTGAAACACCAGCTGCGGTATTAAATCTTGTGCTTTTTTACCTAGTTGAACAAATAACTAATGAGTAAATAAAATCAATTACTTTAGGAGCATACCACAATTTTGACAAAAAATCAAAATATATTTAATAATGGTTCTAAAGAAAGGTAATACCTAACGTAATTTTGTTACATCATCAACTTCTACTCAATGTGCTCGAAGTTCTCAACAAGTTGCATTATAACTAGTAAATAAGTAACTAAGACACTTGCTACCTGAAAAATAAACATAATTGTATATGAACACTTTATTGAAAAACGGAAACAAATGTAGGAACCTACCTACTTACTTTCAAGATGAGGCCTCTTGTAATATTAAAATACTTGCTTCCTCTTAGCATCATTTCACCAGAAGCAGCATGATTCAAAAACCGTTCGGTCTAAAAAAAAATATAATTTTGTGATTTATTCAAATCTGCTTAATTTTCACCTACCTCCTTATTAAAAATATCAGACTGTACAGATAATAGTAAGTCGATTATCTTATCATTTTCGTTATTAGGTAAACTACCATAGAAGCTCACCAACACAATTTTAAATATTGTTGTAGAGATCGTGTAAAAATGAGCAGTTCTTTCAAAAACTGTAAAAGATTGAGACGTGGCTATTATGAAAAAGCCTTCATCTAGAAGAAATTCAACATTTGCAAAATACGAAATAATTATTAACCAGGAGATTTTTTTGTTTATTATGCGACATAGATGTATTAATTTGACGTAGTCTTCTCTTGTAGAACGCCAAATTTGAACATTATCTATCTAGAAAAATGCAACTGATATCTTACGCAATAATTATTGTATTATGTGTACTTACTCTTAACTTATTTAAAAATGAAATTTTCTCTTGAATTTGTTTTAATCTCACTACTAAACACATACTTATCATTATAAGTAAAACATCTCTATAAAACCAAATAAACACCCTTTGGATCGTGGCTATGTGAAAAGTAATTTTCAAAAATATATTATCATTTTCATGTGTATTTATAGCAGTTCCATATCTTTTATTGTGTATAATCGAAAGGATTGGATACTCCACTGTAAGAAAAAATTAAAATTGAAAATAAACTTTTTTGTTTTCAAGTAATTTTACCTAAGAAAACCATTATGAAAAAAGCCATAACTTTTCTCAAAGTTCCTTTCAAGTTCATGTGAGGGCCCTCGTAATGTCTCATTACAGCTTCCACAATTTTCCAATATTGCACTATAGTTTTCCAAGAATAAGCCAAATAGAAAAAGTAAATTACTTGTATTACACTTTCTAAGAATCTCAACAAGAAACCTAAAAATAATGCGAAATTGGTACAAATAAAAATTTATTAAATTACTCATTAACTTACTTATTTTGGTTATTTTATGAGGAAGTAATTTTATATTATACAAGATAAATGTAACACAATTTTGCAATTGTAACGCGCTGCAAAATAAAGCATAAGCCATTTTTATTGACAATAATTTAATTTTCAAATCTTTGGATTGAATATCCAAAGGAAAAATCCAAAATATTTTCAAAAAAATTAGGGGGAGTTCCATTGAATGTTGAAACGAATTGTTCCGGCGATTTAATTTGAAGGTTTTTTGGGACATTTTGGCATCTTTTGGTGTATTTATTGTTATAACGTACATATTTATTATATGTTCTCTGGTCCCAAACTAGTTCTATAATGAGCACTTTCTTTCACTGTCACCATGAATATGCGATCAGGGAGCTTACCTCACATAATCCAGAAAAAAAAAACAAAATGAGTCCTATATATTTTTATTCAAAACAAATTTAGTTACGTTCACAAAATAATAACATACTCCAAACAAAAGCTCTTTTCCCTCTATATTTTTACTGACAAGCTTTATACAAAAATATGAAAACAGTAGCACTTAATATTGAGTGTTAAAGTACTTAATTATCTAATAAATAATTACATAGTGAAATATTTGAATAATTTTGAGTTGGTTCGGTTTTAACAGGTGAAAATTGGAAAATCATTAGCTCAAACGTGACTACAGTGGCTGCAGCTTGAAGCAGAAAGTTTTTCGTTATCAGGAAAAATCCGTGACCGGTTATACCATTTGGCAAGTAGTTGATTTGAGTAATTAGACGGCTCACCTAAATTAATATAAGAAAAAAAAAATAAAAGAATATTTTAATATATAACATGTAATTATCGAGAAATATTATATTGATATGTAAAATAGTAGCAATAGACTGTATAGTAACAAGGCCAATGCCGAGAAAACTCATACGGAGTGTGAGAAGTTAGAGCCATTGTTACCGAAAACAGAAAACTTATATAGGAGAGAATACGAAACTCGAAGAAGGGAAAGGAATAGGATAGAACTGAACCATCATCATTATAACCACTGTGTTTGCATGGCAAAGGTTTCTGGTGGCAGGAGTATCTGAGACGAGAGAGAACCACCATTCAACCATTGTTCGAATTCAATGGGATAGTAAACTCGGATTAAGACTAAGCTGAATCTTTCTTCTTTTAAGTGGAATCCTGAAGAGAAATTTTGGTGACCAAGGGTTGGTTTCTTGAAAAGGTACCATTTTTTTTGACCGGTTATAGATACTAAGAGCCGCTTTATAAGCTTTCTGACAAGCTGTATCGTGGGAGAGTTGGCTCATAAAGCTCCTCGCGGTATTTATTTATAGAACCGAGACATGGCTTTTGGACTGATTGAAGTTAAAAACAGAATAGGGCAGCATAGTAATGCAGATTCTTTGTCAAAACGATCCTATCTAACTCAGTATCTATACCTACAAATATTGCAAGCAAGTAGACCACCGCAACGGATTAGGTACTTCCCTTAGAATTAAATTAAAAAAAAACATGAATCGAGTTCCTTGAATTGAGCCATTTCTATTATGAGAATGACAAGGGAACAAGAAAGTCTTGGAAGATGTCTAAATTCAAAATTTAGTCATAAAAAAAGCCCTACCTAAATTTTGTACAGATCGTTCCACGAGGGTTCATACTTTTGACATCGAAGACGTCATAACTTGAAAAAAAGGGTTGTCGTAGATTGATTCATATGGCACATTCAATTTTTTTTGACAAATTTGAATAAATGACTTCTGGTTTAAGAGCCGACGAACGTTTCTGACGTCATTGATTTGTTTCAGTCAATTTCTATTTGTTAAAAAAGGAAGGCAAATTATGTCGAACAAAGTCGTGAACAAAGTTTATATCAAAATAGTTACAAAAATTAATTAAATATTAGCGTGCCTTGTCTGGTTACCTTTCCGGCGATTCTAAAATCCAATACAGGAATTTACATTGGTCTTTCGAGCAAAAAGAAGATAAAGGTTGAAAACCAGCTCTTCCCAACAGTCCTCCCTTCATTCCTATTCTTTAAGCTACACGCATACACTCGCGCCCTTCGGGGTTAACGTTTAGACACTGGTCTAAACACCCACACAAAAATTCCTACATCCCTTCCTTGCTGTAGCCAGTGCCTTGTCTGGTTAGGTTACAGCATCCCGTTCCTATTGTGGCGACCCCAAAAATATCGAGGTGCTAAAATCCCAGAAAATATAACTAAACTCAATTGGTAAAAGCATTTTTGTAGTCATTTTTATTAGAAAAGTACCTACGTCAGTTGCAAGATAATTTAATCTCAACTCATTAAATCTCCTAGCAATCCAGCATCTCATTCCGTTTAAAAATTGTATAAATAAAAAATGACGAAATTCTAAGCTCAACTCAAATTACATAAGATTTTTTTTTTCCAACACAGGCGATAAGCGACCGGATGTCAGAGTTCGATGTCCCCAATTAATAGACTCTTGCGACAATCCGATTTAAAAAAAAGTCAATAAAAAATTATAAAATTAGGACGCGTTTAACCGGAAATCACTATACTCATGTGATTTAATTGCGTCATAACTGATAAACTATAACACCGGTATTTCCGCCGGATGTCAGAGCTGGGCAGGGCTTGAGCGCTTGCGAAAGTGCTTGAAGCACTTTGAGGACTTGAAAGCCCTGTGCTTCAAGCCCTTTTATAGATTTGTAATTGGGGCTTGCAAAGTCAATTACTTTAGAAAAGTGCTTGGTAATTTGTAATTGAAAAAAGTAATTCAAGCCCTTTCAATGAGCTTCAATTACTTTTAGAGGGGTTGAAGCACTTTTGGGAGCTTGAAGCACTTTGAAAGGGCTTGAAGCACTTTAAAAGGGCTTGAAGCACTTTGAAAGGAATTTGAATTGACCATCATTCAACCTATCCCCCACTTAAACATTTTCGATCGTGTTCTGTCCCTTAATTTTTTTTTCTATTATTTGAACTTGAACCGTCTTATATCTTTTCTCTCTTAACAATGGAGGTTTTGGGTTTGAGCTTAGAATGGAATTAAAAAAAAAAAAAATGAATGAACTTATTATTCAAATAAATAAATAAATAATTTATAGGTACCCTATTTAACTTTATCACTGGATTTTTTTCACTTTTCCCCATTGAACATTTTGAAAACCTTAAAATTGAATTACCATGTAGTACCCCAACTACCCCAAGTACCCCAGAACTACATCTAAAAAAAAACATACTACTGCTACGCTGTGAAATGTAAAGTTCATCTCTACTATACCAATTCTGTGTGATGAGTGTACGCGGTAACTTATGCCACTTTGAGAATTTTATGACAAATTCAAAGTGCTTTAGGCACATTTAAAGAGCTTCAAGCACATTTAAAGAGCTTGAAGCACATTTAAAGAGCTTGAAGCACATTTAAAGATCTTGAAGCCCTTTTCAAGGCACCCCAAGCACTTTTGATGTGCTTCAAGCACTTTTCAAATCACTTTGAGGGCTTTGTGCTTGTCAAGCCCAAAGCACTTTGAGGGCTTTGTGCTAGTGAAGCACTTTTGAAAATAAAAAGGAATTTGTGCTTGAAATTGAAGCACTTTGATAGAGGGCTTAGGGCTTAGTGCTTCAAGCCCTTTTACTGAGGGCTTTGCCCAGCTCTGCCGGATGTTGCATCATATCCTAAATAAAAACCTCCAAAAAAAAAAACAATTCTTGGAAAAAACAATGTCGTTTGTCACTCGATAAACGAGGTCAAATAAGAGGATTGGTTAGAGAAATGCTAAATGACCGCCCACGTAACAGATTTTTGGTGGGAATTGAGTATCTACTATTTAAGCAGGTTACAGTCAGAAAAACAGAGATAACATCCAGCAGTTGATTTGATAGTAAGATTTTAAAAATCAAGAAAATTGGCAGTAAGTCTCCACCAAAAAGTTTTTTTTTTCTTTGTTTTGCCTCGGGAAAAAAGCTAAAAAGTTTGCGACTGACTATTGTCCAGTAAGAGTCATAAAGTAGTATCAGGACTATCAGGTTTTCCTTTGTTTGTGCGTGCTAAGTAACTGAAAGTAATTTTGATCGTTTGTGTATCTGAGGACAGATTCTAAGTACATGTAGAAATTTGAGACTTTAGTATTTATCTATTAGTGAATTGGATTTAAGAGAACTGTCTAAGGAACTTTACTGAAAATTTATTTGATTTTTCGAGTGAAATGACTTTTGAATTTAAATTTGATAAAAATGTCTAATCAGTAAAATAGAATGAACTTGACTATTGACAACAATTTGAAGTGAATTTATTATAAGAAAATTGGAACTTGATTTTAGTGAACTTTCTAAAGGAACTTTACTGAAGGCTTAATTGTTTTTGAATCAAATGACGTTTTTATATTGTTTTAAATATTTAATTAGGAAAATATAATGAACTATTGCCAATTTATTTGAAGTGGAATTTCCCAGAAGAGTTTTAATTCAAAATAGAATTTTGAATTCAAATATTGGATTGTTACTACATCGTTTTTGAAGAAATTGATATGTAATTGTTGAGCTTAAACTATTAAATAAAAAGAAATTCTTTATGCAGTCTAATTTTAGATTGTAAGTTGGGAGTGTAGTATAATGGCAACTGGAAAGTTAGGGATTTAATTATAAGAGTTTTAATATGAAAGGTTTTAGTAAAGGAAGTGTTAGAAAAGGGAATTGTTTAATGTGTAACCAACAAATGACGAACGAGTTATAAAATTTAATTGCGTATAATCAACTAACTTTTGATTAAGAGGGTGTATAACTGGATTGTTTCAATCTATGATCATTGAAGAAAGAGTTTCTTAATATAAAATTTTCCTTTATTTGTCGTGTGCCTAGGTTGTACTGAATTCTTAGGCTGAATTCTTCTAATTGTTAGTGCTGATTTAGTAAATAAAATATGTATGAAAACTATTATACAGTTGTTTCTCTCATTTGCAAATAGACCCCCTCCAGTCTTCATCACTTAATTTTGTAGTAACCCGAGGAAATAATCAACATCAAATAGAACCGCTCGCCATTTACCATCTAACTAATCATAGAGTACTTGGGTGGATCGCTATACTATTATAGCAAGTGCCTTGTTTGGCTATACACTCCTTCCTACATCCTATAATAATCAAATATACACATAAACTCGCGCCCTTCGAGGTTAACGCTTTGACAACACCGGTCTAAAGCACCTATACATACATTCCTTACCGCCTTGTCTGGTTGCAGCATCTCATCCTCAACAGAAGAGAACAAACAAATCGGTTCAGATACTAGCAAACAGCAGCAAGAAAGGAGACAAAAAACACCAGTTCCTGAAGTCAAAGTAATAAGAAGAAGCCTACTAGATACCTACACAAGAGGAGAAAAAAGAACAGATAACCAATACAAGTGGGCAACATCCAAGATGGAAGAAGCCAACGAACTCGCTAAAGCACAAGAAACCTTGGGTAAAAAGTTAGAAACCCTATTTTCCAATTACAAAAAAGACCCCCTGAGAGAAAAAATGAACAATATTTTCTCAGAAAAACTGTCGAACCGAGTCCATTTGGGAAAATATTGAAGAAAACCATAAACAACTTATAGAGCTTTGACATTCCGACGCATCCGTATTTTACAGACGATAATTTTCGTCAACTATAGGAATTATTCCAAGAAATCTCAAAACACATTACCGATTCCAAACAAAAGGCAACCAAACCACCCGCACAACAAGCAGTCTCATATTACGATCCAAACCAGTATCAGGCGCCGAAAAATCGTTTGAAAGAAGAAGAGGTCCGAATGAAC